GCGCTCGTCCACCAATCTAAGCTATAAAAAAAAAACTTCGCCAATTTAGTAGTAAAGTCAAATGTTGTACTATTCTACATACACTTTTTTATCCTTGCCCGCAGTGTAACACAAATAGAAATCAGCTGACGTGCGAGGTCAATAGTATCATGTGACGCGAGGGCACCCACTGACAGCTGCCTTAAATTTGCAAGCTATTTAAATATATCAATAGCCTAACTTAACAAAGTAAATTTAATTTCACGTTCATAGTGAGTTAGCATTAATATTATTGCATAGGATTCGGTTTCCATACAATCTAAATGTCACATTCTTATTGATTTTTATTATTTATGCATTAGCATTTGGACTAACTTATAACATAATATATGTATGTTATATAATATATATAAGCTGTAATTTTTTATAAAGTCTGTAATTATTCTTTCTTCTTTCTTAGGTAACCTAATAAGAATAATAATTAATTATTGGAATGACGTTCCTTATGGGACGATGCGGAGGGGTACCCTAACTGGGAAGAAACGTCCGTAACGTAAGATTTTTATTATTTATGTATAGTCTTAATATGATGGCTATAGATATGCTGTTTCTATGTATATTAATATTACATATTTTTTATAAATCATTGTGAATAAAATAAAGTTGAAAACTTTGTAAAGTAGTTTATATTTTATTTTTATCATTAAAAAAATCACAATAAAAAATGTATACCCGAATAATTATTTTCTTTAGACCTCGAATAGAACTTAAAATTAATATTTTTATAATAAGGAACTTTGTTCCTATCCGGTGACCCACGACACCACACATTTTTTATTTATTTATTATAATTTAATTATTATCAAAATACGCTACAATTTGAAAACGATCGTTTGCCTACAAGGGCAATAAAAAAAAAACGAATGATTTGTTTTTGAGACTCAATCTAATTTCTCACTATAATGACTGGGTAGACGAAGGTGGAAGAAATGTTCCACATTCATTGGTGATGTCCATTAGCATTGGTGACCACTCACCATTAGGTGGGCTATGTGTTCTCCTACCTATTAAGACGATAAAAAAAGTCAGATTTATGTTATGTCAACGTAAAACCATATATCAGATATAACATTAATTAAGCCCCATCCATTCATTTTCACTTTCCCTCACGGTCAAGAATCAAGTATCCCAGTGATGTCCCGTTAACATATGTACAAATACACTTAATGTTCATTATTTATTACGAAGTTAGCGCAGATGACGAGACTCTGACACCTTGTAACTCACAAAAGCTTACAATCAAATGGGTCAACACGATATTAACATCACAGTTGACGTCGCGCGACAGTTGATAATGTAAGTTGATCAGAAACACAATATTAACGGAAACTTCATATGTAATTCATCGTTGACTGACTCAACCATACGATTAAACAGCATGATACTTACTGGTGATTGGACTGATTGGGCATATGGGAACACGCCCGAATAACTGCTACCTTCCTACCGATACATGCCGTCATAAGACCTTCGATTTCCTGTCTGCTGGCTACAGTCGTCAGGAGGTGAGTCATGTAATACAATAATGTTGTTTTAACTGTCGAATGCTTTTATATTTGTTAGGATAACCAATAGCCATTGCGATGTGTAGCAATATGGGGTCATAATAAAAATTTTATTACAAAAAAATATTTCATTTTTTCTTTATATTATATGAAAAATTTATTACTACAGCTTGCCTTAGTTTATACATCGAAAAAGTAGAATTTCAAGAGTATGAAGCTCAATCATAATGATCTCAAAATGATCCATTAATGATCCCAACCCCTTGTGCCGGTTAAGAATTAAAATACCCACTTTCTCCTAAAAAATCGACATTGTCAATCTTATGGAATGTTTTAGGAACACTTACCGTAACATATTCTTTAAAAGAGAGCCTAATTGAAAAGAGAGTTTGGGACTAAACAACACCAAAGTGTTGTTCACTCCTCAAAGTTCAACTTAAGATCACTTAATTTATTAAGTGTTCAATACTTAATATCAAAATGAACACATTTTAACATTATCGGTTAAGTGATAAGAAGTACGTCTTTTATAAGAAAGAATTCCTTTTTTATTTTATAATACGCGATGCGGTTCTGGATGCTATAATTATTTCCCTAGATACGTGCGTATTTCCCTAGATACCTTATGCTTTCAGGTAGAATGTCTTCGGGTTATTTCCTTTTCTGCTTCCATTGCCCCTTTAGTGTGTATACTGAGTGAACAGTCATATTTTTTGTCACAGAGAGGGGTTTTATTATAAAGATACCAATAACCCGTTATACAAACATTCGATTGATCCGAAGCAGATGAATATTTAAAAAAAAATGCACCTGGCTCCATATCTTCTTTCATCGAAAACAGTATTTATCTGAAAAAAAAAAGTATGTTTCGGCTTTATTATTACCCCACTCCATTTTAATGTCACACGCACATTTCAAAAAGATCGGCGCGAAAATGTGGCATATGTCATATGAGAGTGACAGCTTTCTAAATCAAATGGAACGTTTTTCTTAATTGTAAATTATTTACAGCCAAAGTGCAACTGTATAGGTAGGTTATAAATTAAATACTAAAATTCTATAATAAATATTTACAGGAGCAATATTAGATTTTAGAAATATTACATAGCAATATTAAATTAGAGCAATTTATGGACCATTAAAATTAAATGTAAAAAGTACTTAAACAATTTAGCCAAATTTACGACGTAATTGGGCTAGAAATAAATAATAAATAAATGAGATTGTAATAATTTTTCAGATAGACACTGACTCCGACCGAAAATAAAACTGAAGCCCGTGGTATGTATTTATAGAGCTAAATAGGCAATTAAAAGTTTTATTATTTATTCCATTTATTTAACTTGGTGTTTTGCTTACTGAATGCGTCATAGACAGTCAACGACTTTTTAGCATTTAGCATGTTATCGCAAATTCTTATGCATTCTGTTTTATAGTTACATATTCCTTATTAGTTTCGGTTTCAATTGGTAATTATATCGATTTCTAATTTGACAATGTGTGGTAATCAAAAAACCACGTGATGGAAAAATCAACAAAACAAGTGATCAAGAATCATCCGCCTATACCGATACCGCCATTTTTGCCATAGGTAGGGACAAAAAGTACCATAACCGGGGGAATATGATTTTTAAGATTTTTAATAAGTAAAATTGAATCTAAAAAGAAAGTCACCGATGATATGTATGTATTGTGAAAGGACACAGATAGCTATTTCTGTTGTGAAAAAGGTGTATTTTACGGTTTTTAAACGGTAGGAAAACCGTTATAGATTGAAACCTCGAATTGACACCTTATGGTGGGTGGCGGTATTCATGTCGCAGTGTGACTACACATCTAATTACCTATTGCAGAAAAAACATAGTAAATATACAAACGTTGACTCGGCCAGTGGTTCTTTTGTTCTAGTATTCCATATGTTCTGTTGAACTGATTCAAATAACACCGTCATCTTTATCCTTCATCCTTCTTCAAACAAGGCTTTAAGAAAGCTGTCCGGGAAGCACCGGTTTGGCTGCGTCTCTCGAATTACAAAGAACCATGGTATCCTTTTATAACTGCCCATCAGTTGGGGCGTATAGTTCTCTGCCTCCGAAAGCGTATAGCGAAATGAGAAAAAAATACAAGCTCCTGAGTACATTGGTCAGGGTAAAATAGCGAAGACGTGAATGGACCCAACAAGTTTGCGGGATTTCGCGATGTAAAAACTGGTATTAGCTCGGATGAAAAATACGCGCCCGACATTAACGTACAAACCCATACTATATGGAGCAACTGCGTTCATCCACAGTGGGTTTCCAGAGGTATTTTTTGCCACGTACCATCCGACTTTGGAATGAGCTCCCCTCCATGGTGTTTCCCGAGCGCTATGATATTGCGTGGTAGGCAGCGCTTTACCTACCGCAATATCAAGCAGGACATTACCCCTGGCATTGCTGAGGTCCATGGGCGACGAAAAACCATTAACCATCAGGTGGGCCGTATGCTCGTCTGCCTACAAGGGCAATAAATAAATCTATGGAATTTTAAAAACAATTCTATGGATTCCAATGTTAGTCCCAAAAAGACTAACAAGGTATAGAATCCATGGTTTTAAATTAGTCTATGTAATTATTTCTTATTTATACATTATTGGAGATACCAGCTTCATGAGTTTTCTTAGAGCAACTAGCAGTAGAAAAAAACTGGATGTATATGAAGGGTAAAGGTGCGCAATGCAATAAATAATTATTAATGTATTGACTGAAAACACTTAATAACCACAGTACATTAAAAACAAACAAAAGCATTCAATTAAATATATACATAAATATACACTGTATAAAACTAGTACATTAATATATATCATTATGTATGCTAAATTAGACTAGAATTAATTTATACTTTTGCACTTAAAACCACAGGGAGTAATTTTATTAGTCCAATTTTTATTTGTCATTTATTTATTTACTAACAGCATTACTGATTAAAAGCAATAAATGAAACTAAAGTTTCGATCTTAACGATTTAAAACAAAAACAAAAGTAGGTACCTTGACATTTACAGAGGTTAAGCAAAAAATAACAATAAAAACACGACAAGAATAACACTTCGGTTCAATTATTTATATAAGGAGCTGTTTAGAATAATGTATATATCTGGCCTCTTAAGATCGAAGCGAGATTTAAAATTATTCAACAAAAACATAAAGACCTCGTCAAAAATCGGATTTTGTAAAAAACAACTAGAATTAATTGAAGCCCCGCGACGTACACTACGCTCATTTTTTGCCTAAAACCGCTTTTGTTTGTCAGTAACGTCATTGTCGTCATTCGGATGATCTACACAAATTTCAATTTAAAATCCCTGTTTTGTGGACCCGAATATTGAATTATTTATATTTCGTATCAGAAATGTCCTATTTTAAACAAATTCAGAGAGCAGTCGATAGGCGTCACTGCACGTGACTGCTGGTGCGTCCGAATCTAATAGTTGTAGTTAACGTGGTGACGCTGCGCTCACTTCATACCGATTATTGGTCTCTACTACATATTTGGCTTACTCGTTTTAACGATACCCAACTAATATCAACTGTATCTATCAAGTGAGTGTATGATTAAAATTAAAGAATTACTATACTTTGCAAAAAATTGTCAGTCAGCTTCTTAAAAAAATTGTTAAAAAATTATTCATAAAAGAGTTTGGAATGGGTAGCATGACGTTTGCTGAATCATGTTATTTTTTGCATAGTTGGTAGTCCTGCTTCAATAGTGTTGCCAGAGTAATAATTAATTTGTCACAAATTGATGTAATTGTACTTTAAATTAGTGGCATCAAAATCACAATCTTTGATATCACAATGTTATCAATATAGAGTTTGCTTAATAAAGATGATAAGATTTGTGAAATTGAAGACGAATTAAGTTTTATTTCATTTTTATATATATTTTTTTTATTTCAATACAGTTGCTTATTTAAAAAAAAAATGCTTTGTTATTTATTTTTAATTTAAGGTAATATGGACCTTTATTTTATTTGGCTGGTAACGTTCGTGGCTGGGTTTTGGATTTTCAAAAAAATAAAGGAATGGCAGAATTTGCCCCCCGGACCTTGGGGGTTACCTATCGTCGGTTATTTGCCTTTCATTGATCGCTATCATCCACATATCACCTTGACAAATTTGTCTAAAACATACGGAGCTATTTACGGTCTCAAAATGGGCAGCATATATGCTGTAGTGTTATCTGATCATAAACTTGTAAGAGATACGTTCTCAAAAGACAGTTTTTCTGGACGAGCACCTCTTTACTTAACACATGGCCTTATGAATGGAAATGGTAAGATATTTTTTCATGTTTAGATGGTAATTATTGGTAATTATATAGTATGATTACCAATGGTAATACCATTTAATATAGCTGTGAATACAATATCTTAAAGTTCTGGCTTTTTAGGAATTATTTGTGCCGAAGGCGGTTTGTGGAGGGACCAAAGGAAATTAATAACATCGTGGTTGAAAAGTTTTGGAATGAGTAAGCACAGTGTTTCCCGAGAAAAATTGGAAAAACGAATCGCTTCAGGAGTATACGAAATTTTGGAAGTAAGCTATGAATTATGTTTCTTTGAAACATTCAGGCGCTTTACTATTTTTTAAATGACCATACACATGCATGAATTTTAGAATTTTGATTCAATGATAAAAATAAAGATCTATAGTAAAATTAACTGATAAATGATTTTTAGAATATCGAAAAAACTTCTGATGCTGCCTTGGACCTTCCTCATATGCTGACGAATTCTTTAGGAAACGTTGTCAATGAGATAATATTCGGCTTTAAGTTTCCACCTGAAAATAAAACATGGCAATGGTTTCGTCAAATACAGGAGGAAGGATGCCATGAGATGGGAGTCGCAGGTGTTGTAAACTTCTTGCCCTTTATACGGTGAGTATTATAATATGTTACTAGTGTTCGTTTTTTCGAGAGCAGGGTTTGTGTATACAGCCACACTTTTACGCAAATATCAGACCATATGAACTTACATAATGACATAAAGTTGCCCAGGTCCTCCTGATAATAATGATGATTACAACATCATCCATCTGAACAAGTAGTATCGTAAATTTTTTTCTATCTTACTTTTATACTATCTCTTATTGGTAAGATATGCTGTAAGTTCTTATGGATTATTATTCTATGCGTAATCACAGCATGGCAGGATAGTCATTATTCTATAGCAACTAAAACTTAAACCTAATATCTCATAGTATTTTTGTTAATGTACTCTGGACTCCGATATCCTCTTAATATTAAATATACTTTGTTTCGGATTAAATAGACATGAAATGTTTTAGCCATGTTTCGCCATCAACACGAAAAACAATTGAAGTTCTAGTCCGTGGACAGGCACAGACGCATACTTTGTACGCAAGCATGATAGATAGACGAAGAAAAATGTTGGGCTTAGAGAAGCCTAAGGGAGCCGAATATGCTCCTCACGAAAACCTTTTAAAACTATATCCAAATGGCCATATCAAATGCATAAAATACAGCAAAGTCTCTCCGAACACCGAGCATTTCTTTGATCCCAATACTCTTATTCCGACTGAAGGAGATTGCATACTGGATAATTTTCTGTTGGAGCAAAAGAAACGATTTGAGAGTGGAGACCCAACGGCACTGTATATGAGAGATGAACAGTTACATTTTCTACTAGCGGATATGTTCGGTGCCGGACTGGATACTACATCGGTGACTTTAGCTTGGTTTTTGCTATACATGGCTTTGTTTCCAGAAGAACAGGTCTGTTTTTGTTTTTAATTCTATTTACATAGCTGTAAATTTAACCTTTACTTTATTAATTTTATAATGTCCGACGTTTTGTTTTCGTTGCGTTGTGAGTCCGAGATGATACCGCAAAATGGTTTTTATGACGTTTACGATTCGTGGTAACCTCCGAAATTGTTAAATTGTATCTGCTGGTCAGATTCACTGCAAAGATAGAGAGGCCGTCTCACGGTCACTGGTGAACGTTACTCGCGGCTGTGATCATAATGCCAGGGGCACTGATATAATGCTGCCTACCGTGACTAAATCCCTATGTACCGTGTCTAGTTGCTTCCTATCGTAAGCGACCCGTTACCCGTGGCCAATCAACAATGAAGTCTAAGAATTGAATACACTTGTTGAGATTTCTTTAATTACTAACGAATTTTATTATCTTAATACCAATAAACCCGATAACCAAAGTGCCCAATCTTAAATTTCGACACACTCTTGAAATTTTAGAAGATTTTATTTAGATTTCAATCATTTACTGGTATTATAAGTGAATTATAGTTCTAATACATAGTTCTTGCAACATAAGAAATTAAAAAAAATAATGCTTATTCAAACATGGCGCTACAATATTGTATCAAATTATTATTGGAAACTTATACGAGTAATAAAGATTGTTAAAATAGATTGTTAGATATCATAAAATAATCGCACGGGGATCGTTCGAAGAGAATATATAATAAGTCGTCGTGGCCTAAAGGATAAGACGTCCGGAGCATTCGTATGAAGCGATGCACCGGTGTTCGAATTCCGCAGGCGGGTACCAATTTTTCTAATGAAATACGTACTCAACAAATGTTCACGATTGGCTTCCACGGTGAAGGAATAACATCGTGTAATAAAAATCAAACCCGCAAAATTATAATTTGCGTAATCACTGGTGGTAGGACCTCTTAGGAGTCCGCACGGGTAGGTACCACCACCCCGTCTATTTCCGCCGTGAAGCAGTAATGCGTTTCGGTTCGAAGGATGGGGTAGCCGTTGTAACTATACTGAAACCTTAGAACTTATATCTCGAGGTGGGTGGCGCATTTACGTTGTAGATGTCTATGGGCTCCAGTAACCACTTAACATCAGGTGGGCTGTGAGCTCGTCCATCCATCTAAGCAATAAAAAAAAATAAAAAATGTATCTCTCCGCGGTCAACTCGTTATTAATTTATGAACGATTTTATAAGATATTTGTGAATTATGTTATTTGCTACAGTGCTTGTTTGATAGCAATCGCACAAGAAGAATTACATGTTCGAAATTCAAAAACTGTTTACTAATGATTCGAAAATCTAAATTGATCATTGTAAAGTTGGTTCTATTCCTATGTAAGTCAGCAACATATAGACTACACACTGTTAATAATATATGTCTATTTCTATACCGACCAGTTAGTACATTTTGCTTAAAGAAAAGGTAAAAATGAACTAAAAGAGAAAGGTAGGAGAAAGCTTTCTTCAAACGATGACTTCGCCATAGTTGACGTTTAGCTGAATTTGAAAAAGGTCGAACATGCAAACTAGTAATTAATTGTCGGTTATTTGCTTAATTGTATGACAATAAAATGCTAACTGTTGTTTTCGATAGAAATGTTAGATGATATTTTATTTATGTGAATTATATTAAATATATGAATTCATATTGAAATCTTTGTATGAGTATTATAGATACGAATACTATTTAAGATAAAAAAAAACTATTTTAAATCCAAATAGAACATAAACGTTTACTGTTTTCCCAAAGTGTATTTGAAGTCTGGTCAAATTTGGTGTATTTGAAGTCATTTACTGGTGGTTGGACCTCTTGTGAGTCCGCACGGGTAAGTACCACCACCCTGCCTATTTCTGCCGTGAAGCAGATACTTGAGACCTTAGATCGTATATCTCAAGGTGGGTGGCGTATTTACGTTATAGATGTCTATGGGCTCCAGTAACCACTTAACACCAGGCTGTGAGCTCGTCCACCCATCTAAGTAATAAAAAAAAACTCTCGATTCTTTCCGTTCCCGCGCCCCAGCTTGCCAAATTGAGACGGGCATCTTGTGTAATATATGTGTTTGTTTCTAGGAAGAAATACGTAAAGAAATCTTATCCGTATATCCATATGACGATGATGTTGATAGTTCAAGGTTACCTCTTCTTATGGCAGCAATCTGTGAAACTCAGAGGATTCGATCGATTGTTCCAGTGGGAATACCCCATGGTTGTATAGAGGTAGGTCGCATTGTGGAGTCTTAGACTATTGCAATTTTTAATTAAAATTCTTACGCGCAATGCAGACATGAGCAGCCACTGAAAGGTAATGGTTATTTATATGTCAAGTTGCCCAAATACATTTCGCCTTATGAAAATGAGGTATCCTTTAAAGCAAATTTTGTTATTTACATTATTATTATAATATTATTTTCAGGTTAATTGTAAGCCATAATTTTTATTGTCTGTTAGAAAAAAAATGTAATTAAAATAAATTTATATCTTAATAAGTACATTTTAATTAATGTATTTTATTTTAATTACCATTTTTTCTCTTCTACAGGACGCTTACTTGGGTAACTACAGAATCCCAAAAAATGCCATGGTGATCCCATTGCAGTGGGCTATTCACATGGATCCTAATGTTTGGGAAGAACCAGAAAAATTCAAACCGCGTAGATTTTTGGCTCAGGATGGTAGTCTACTTAAGCCTCAAGAATTCATTCCGTTTCAAACTGGTAATTTTATACTTTTATTATATTTATTTTTTCTTGATTAAGAAACAAAGAAATTATATAGTTGATTTTGTGTGGCGGCCGCGCGATCCACGAGGACCGAGGAAAGCTCACCTTCCGACTGAAGTAGGTGCTCACCGGCCACGGTTGTTTCGGCCGGTAACTGCACCTTGTCGCCTGGAGGGATCTAACGGTGCAATACCACCACGACAACGACGTGGAGGACAATGCGGAACAAACATTAGCGCGCTGTTCTGGATTCCGGGGGCAGCCGTCGCCCTCGTCTCGGTCGTGGGAGAGAACCTGTCGCGCGTCCTGGAAGGCGATTCTTGAATTCTGCAAATCCACCTTCTTACAGTAGGAGGCAGCGAAAAGAGCTTTTCCTTGTCCGCACCGATCCGTCGCCATTGAGCTTTGGGTTACGGGAGACAGTACGAGAGTACGTCCCAGCCCCTGTAGTTGACGGCCTCCCCTGTTGAAGGTCATGGGGTGACCTGAGAGATCGAAACAATCCATACCCTGGGCCAGGAAGGTCAAGTACCTGGGCGTTACCCTGGATGCATCGATGACATTCCGCCCGCATATAAAATCAGTCCGTGACCGTGCCGCGTTTATACTCGGTAGACTTTACCCCATGATCTGTAAGCGGAGTAAAATGTCCCTTCGAAACAAGGTGACACTTTACAAAACTTGCATAAGGCCCGTCATGACTTACGCGAGTGTGGTGTTCGCTCACGCGGCCCGCACACACATAGACACCCTCCAATCTCTACAATCCCGCTTTTGCAGATTAGGCGTCGGAGCTCCGTGGTTCGTGAGGAACGTTGACCTACACGACGACCTGGGCCTCGAATCTATCCAGAAATACATGAAGTCAGCGTCGGAACGGTACTTCGATAAGGCTATGCGTCATGATAATCGCCTTATCGTTGCCGCCGCTGACTACTCCCCAAATCCTGATCACGCAGGAGCCAGTCACCGTCGACGCCCTAGACACGTCCTTACGGATCCATCAGATCCAATAACCTTTGCACTAGACGCCTTCAGCTCTAACACTAGGAGCAGGCTTAGGAACCCCGGTAACCGTCGAACTCGACAAAGAGTTAGCCGTGTAACCTAACCCATGAATCAGCTCGCTGAGTTTCTCGCCGGATCTTCTCAGCGGGTCGCGATTCCGATCCGGTAGTAGATTCATTCGCGAAGCAGCTGCTCTTGAGCTGTTAGGTCTCCTTCGGAGGCGCTCGGGTAGCTGTTAGCAAATCCCTCCCCTCCTGGCTGAGCCTTTGCTCGCCCACATGTTCTGGTGAAACTGGAAAGGCCTCCGGGCCACCAGTAATCCTTCAATCATATAAAAAAATAAAAAATGACCGCGGTAGACCCCTTACCCCGCCCGGGTTCTGACCTCGAGGGGGGATTGGATGAGAGTGCAGGGAGGTTCGGCCCGCGGCCAAAAAATATTTATTTATGATATTTATTTTATACATTATACATAGATTATGACTTCCGATTCTAATGGTTTAGGGATTCCTATTAGAAAACAAAATATGGGACTTGTTTTGTACCTAAGCTAGGCCTATTAAATTTGACTTCAAACTTAGGGGAGATTTATTACTACTTTTATTTGGACGGAGAAAACACTTTGAAGCAGTACTTAATTGAGTTTTTGGCTTTCTAAAGTTAACAACACTTTTAAGTCTTTAATTAAGTTCTCTACGCAAAAATATCTAAAAATTTAACGGGTTTTTCAATAATCTAATCTAATCTGAGATATTATACTGTGTTATGATATCAAACACGTAAACACTCCTAGATCCAAATATCAGGTATGTTTAACGAAGAAACTGACTCCGATCGGGATTCTAACCCGGCCAACGCTGTTCATTAATCAGGGTTAATATCTACTAGAATAATGAGGCGATCGTTGAGTTAGGACCTCACGAAAATTTTTATGTGGCAGGGGGACCTTTTAATTTCAAATTTGATGTGTTATTATTAGATTTTAATCAAAATGTTTTCGATTTCATTCAGGTAAGCGGATGTGTCCGGGTGACGAACTGTCCCGTATGTTGTCGTGTGGCCTCGTAAGTAGACTATTCAGAAAGCAGCGTATTCGACTCGCATCAAAAATACCGACAGCAGAAGAGATGCGTGGAACCGTCGGTGTTACGTTGGCACCTCCTCCGGTGAAATACTATTGCGAACCAATTTAATGACTAAAATTTTATTTGAATTCGCTTTTTATTAAAGTAGCGTTCAATAACATTAGTTGTAGATCTTTATGTAACTTTTGTTTCACGGAATATACCTTTTATCATTTGTCGGTTTATTTATTTCGTAAATAATTATTTATTTATTTATCTGTCGCCGTTTCATAGAGAACATATTGACAGAGAATTATAATGTGCCGTGACTGATAAAACTTTAGAATATAAAAGACAAAGTTAATTCATAATCATAATTTATTTTCATGAAATATTTCACCATTATTTTACGCACAATTAAACATTATAATAAATGGAAAACCAGCGATATTTACAAGCGGTATCGTCTAGGCGATAATTCCTAAATTAATTCTAAGAGAACCTATAAAATAACGGTGAGCTGCTTATAGAAGTGACTTAACCATCCAAATTTCAGTTCAGAGCAACTTGGTTGCTGAGCTAATGGATTTCACAGAGTCAACTGAACACTAAAGTTATTTGTTTAGCGACATTATAGCTTTAGACTAGTAGTTGGTTGTTACTTTATCTGGAATGTGACTTAAACATCAATATGTACGTATCTACTAGAACTGTTATACATGAACACTTGTAAATCTTAAATATAAACTTACTTAACATAACGTAACACGCATGAGATCACACACTCATCAAACAACACTCACAAGTCACACTTACAAATAAATAATGACCTAGAATTATACATTTTATTTTGGTATAGGTACTAGAACTTACACGTAGTTACTTAAATTAATGCGTGTGGTATGTGTGATTTTCGCAAAATCCAACTTTTTTCATAATCTACAAAAAAATATCCTAATACTGTAAATCGCATACATTTCATCCAAATCTCAACGATGGGATATTAATGATACATCTAAAACGGTTGGTTTATTAATAATTGAACACTTTATGCACAGCCTTGACGATCGCAACTGCGATGTCGACACTTATATAATAAAAGACTAAAATAAATGGTCGTCGATACGCTCTAAAACGAGTGGATCACTTCAATACTGGTGGGTGTGTGGCAGAGAGGCACGGTGCGCAGTTAATGTGAGCCGACATGACGAAGATGAGAGCTATCTGCAGAGAGCGTAGTCGGTACTAAGGGTACTGGTGAACGAGCCAAAAATTTCACACGAAAAGCTTTCGGTGCAATTGTAGCACCTACTATGCCCTCCAGCGAAGGTAATGCGTCACCTTCAGCCATTTCCAAGTCGAATTGGTGCATCATACACGAANGAGGCACGGGGCGCAGTTAATGTGAGCCGACATGACGAAGATGAGAGCTATCTGCAGAGAGCGTAGTCGGTACTAAGGGTACTGGTGAACGAGCCAAAAATTTCACACGAAAAGCTTTCGGTGCAATTGTAGCACCTACTATGCCCTCCAGCGAAGGTAATGCGTCACCTTCAGCCATTTCCAAGTCGAATTGGTGCATCATACACGAAAAGAACATGAACATCTCTTTGCGGGCCAATACGTCGCCCAAACACATTCTTCGGCCGACCCCGAATGGCATGAAATATTCCGGACGTCTTATCTTGCCGGTCGCGTCGATGAATCTACTAGGATTGAATTTGTTTGGTTCATCCCAGAGATTCGGATCCATGTGCACGCAGTTAATAAGTGGTATAACCTGAGAACCCGCCGGAATCTTATAGCCGTTGATTTGCACATCCCTAAAACAATAAATTAATAAATAAAAGTTGTTTTAAAAGCAACAACAATAATGCTGTTATTATTTTGTAGTTTTTTTGGAGCTTACCTAGTCGGAGAATGTGTGGTTGCCAAAGGAACAATGCTTGATAATCTTAACGTTTCCAAAATTGTAGTTTCGGTGTATGGAAGACTAGATATGTCGTCAATAGAAGGGAGACGTTCTCGGCCAATGACCGCATCGAGTTCTTCTTGTACACGCCTTTTCACGTCTGGGTTTCGCAACATGAATACTATCATCCACAGAAGCGACGACTTTATGGTTTCCATACCAGCAGAGAAAAGATCTCCAAGTATTTGTTTTAATTGTAATTCTAAAACAGAAAGTAGAGTGTTATTAAATCGGTTTAAGAAGCTCCCAAAAGAAAGAGCTAATTAAATGATAATTAACTTACCATGATCTCTTCCTTCGAAGAGTTCGCCGGCCCTGCCTTCGCTCTTCGCCTTCTCGATTTCAATTAAGTAGACATCGATAAGGTCTCTGGCATTATTGATGTCGAGAGTTTCGCGATGCTCGTCTATCAATGTTTGATAGAACGCGAACATTTCATCGCGATTTTTTGCGACCTTTTCTTGAGCTAGAGCTTTTCCAGGTAGATACTAAAACAAAATAAATAAATAAAATTAACATAAAAAATGTCTATCTATATTTTTGTGGTACTTAGGCTGTGTGATTTATTTTATTGACGAGTTTGGAAATGCTGTTTAACGAACTTGTTTAAATGTGACACAGTGAACACATTCAAATGTGACACAGTATAAGCTTGTTTCTTGTTCAAGCTTGTTTAAAAAAAGAAAAATACGTTCGAATTGCTTTAGTGTACATACGACGATTAGCATCGAAAAAGATAAAAAAATAAATCCCGTTTATGACTTTAGGTATTTGTATATTACGTTTTGAAATTTAAAATGAATAGTATGCTTTTAAACTTACATTGTACAGAGGAATGTATTCTCCGTAGTGAACTTCTCCGAAAAGTCTCATTCCTTCTTCGATAAGATGATTGAGTCTCTCGAAGCGTACATCGCCGTTACTAAAACGGACCGACATCGTGATACCGCAGATAACGTTGGACACGCACAGCGCAAGGAGAGGATTTACGTCAATAGGTGCGCCTTGCGCTCGATGCAGGCTTACAATCAGCTCGTGGATTTCATTCTAAACAATAAAAATAATACATTCTAAGATTTCTATCGAAACTTTTTTTAGTATATTAATAAATAATAACATTTACTTCAGTTTATTTATTAAGCGTATATTACAAACCTTGATTCTATCCTCCATTAGTTTTTTGCCGTTTCCCATGTAAGTCATGCCGAACTCCCGTAGTTTTTCGTGCAAGAACCGTCGTTGATTTTTCCAGAGGCGGCCCTCGCTATTGATGATGCCTGCATAATAAGAGGGAGGTGTTTAGTAGGGTCTACGAGTGTAGGCGGCGCATGCGCACCGGTAGGTCCGACTCGGTAACGCCCACTTTAACATGTGTAACTTTCAGTCTTGTGGATAAAGTTTACTTTAAATTATTATACATTTTTTTACTATAGCATTTTTTTTTAAATATTATGTGAAATTGTTTGAAAATTAAACACTTACCAAGACCATCTAAAGTATGCATTAAGGGAGTGCTGGGACGACCGGTGAATTCTTCGCGTCGGAAGGCTTCTCTGATAATTTTGTAGTCACTCATAACGATGGTCAGTTGGTTTCCGAGTCGCGCAGAGAAGAGGGCTCCATAATTTCTGGCCAATTGAAGGAACGTCTTGTGCCGGACTCCGAGAAAAGGTAGGTAGCCGACGACGGGTGGTCCCCACGGTCCCGGGGGCAGCTTGCGAATGTCACGTACTAGCTTCAGGAATTGAGTCAACAACAACGCCGTGCAGGTTACAATGATTAGCATCACCGACGTACGAGATACACAATAGTTCATCACTTGCCAAAGCGCCCACAGAATTTTCGAATTCGTAAGCATAGTTATCATTTTTACTGATTTGTCTTTTTTTTTTTTTAAATAAAAATTAACTTTTCGTTCAGACGAAACGAAACATGCGTGCGCGGAACGTAGATCGCGAGCATGCGACGTCAGAACACTGTGATTGTATACCGCGTGCGAGCAACGTTTGCGCACTGGCGCGCCGCTGCCGTGGCCTTGCGAATAAATAGTAGCGAGTCCGTCCCACCGGCGTACAGGACCTCTCAATCGCTTTTCTGCTATTAAGCGCTGTAAATACAATACTTTACAGCGCTTATATCCACATTTGGTATGGTAGGCAGCGGCTTGAATCTGCCCCTGGCATTGCTGACGTCCGTGAGCGACGGTGACCACTTACCATTAAGTGGGCCGTATGCTCGTCTGCTAACAGAGGCAATAAAAAAAAATAATAAAAAAATTTGCACGTTACTCAAAAATATTATAATAAACGATTGAAACAAAAAAAAAAATATATTATTGCAAACTTTATATTTAAACGTATATAAAATTGAATCGAAAAGCAACATTGTTATTTCAAAGGCATAATAAAAGTCTTTTAGTAATTTGAAATGTATCTTTGGCTCAATTCGGGTTGGATTGATTCTTGTTTAATTTTTTTTTATAATTATTAAAAAATATAGAAGATTAAAAAGTTTAAAATAAACTGTTGCAGTAATGTAGATGAATAAAAATTGTGTGGTGTGTATGTAGATTTTGGTTCTGTGCGCATTACTCGGTAGCGAGTACGTACGGCTTGCTCCAACTCTACCGAGTAGCGCTACGGGCCGCGTAGCGAACGCTCGTAGAGCTAGATAGAGCTCTTACTGATTGTACCCACTTTATTTCGATAATTTATGCATTCATGTTTTATATAATATTTAATTCAAAATTTGGCATTCAAAAACTTCGAAAAATAAGATACTAAAAAAAAGAAAAATGATTTGTCTTTTATATAATAGAACATTAGTATTTTGATTACTTGCGAGTCTGGTTTTGAAGGGCATTATTGTGTATGTCAAGAACAAGCTCATGCCGAATTTTAAATGTAAGTTGACTTTGGGTATGGCCTTAAAATTCGTGCGTGTATGTATTGAATGTATGCATTGTAAGCGTTGAATTTAGGAGAGGGGTAGGGATTGGCGAGGTCGCAGATGATAAGATTAACGAATTGCGTAATTGTGCAAGGTGACGGGCGGGTCAACGACATTCTACGCGCTCGACTCTCCGCCACACACTCTGATACTATTATTTAAATCAATCTTACTATAATTGAGTTACAAAACGCAAAACTTATGATTGATTCGCATTTTTTTACATATTAAATTTACTCTATAAATATTACTGTTCTGTATTAATTTAATAGAAAATTTACTGATTTTGCGACAAAAACAATAAAAAANGGGCGGGTCAACGACATTCTACGCGCTCGACTCTCCGCCACACACTCTGATACTATTATTTAAATCAATCTTACTATAATTGAGTTACAAAACGCAAAACTTATGATTGATTCGCATTTTTTTACATATTAAATTTACTCTATAAATATTACTGTTCTGTATTAATTTAATAGAAAATTTACTGATTTTGCGACAAAAACAATAAAAAACTTTCGTTACGTACGTATAAGAAACAATAATTAGTTGGTAGCTAAGTGTGAAAATTACGCAGTTACAACTATTTGCTCTTTATATAACATGTTATTATATGTATAAATTTATAAGGAAAATGTTATTAAATAAGGAAATTTCTTTCTAAGGTATCCAGCTTTTCTCGTGTTCTATTGAGAGAAAAAACAAAACCTTCTAGTAGGGGTCCTGAAAATAATCATAAGGGTTCTTCTAAGACTTTATAGGACGTAAAACTATCGACTAAAACAATTAGCTTTAAAAAAAAAAAACATAGACTTCTTGTAATATGTATATATATATATATATATGTAATGTTTACTGTATGCACTAGGTTTGTGTTCCTAATTCTTCTTTCCTTTTGCGGGCCTACTGGAAGAGATTTCAGCATGAAATAAGTAGTGCCCTTGTACTCTGTATCCTTATTGACGTGTCTTTTCTAACAGCTGTGTGTACAAAATATATATTAAATAAATAGACTACATTTATGCACATAAACATAAAAGCGAAACCTTTTTCATATCTGAAAAGTAAATGATAACCTTTTTAAGTCGTTCCAATTGTTATTCACGTGGCTGTCTCTTGTTTATTTTCATTTTATTTAATATAAAATACTTTTTTGAACTTTCGCTTGTTCATGTTGGTTGCATTCGTGCGCGCGTCGGTACGGTACTTACTGATTTTTTCATTTATCAAGTCACGTCTTAAAAACTAGACCTTTTTCATAATATACATTTAGTGATAGTCGTCACAGGGTTTACCGGTAACATAGAAATATATCATTTTTATTTGTTCGATAATAAACCCGTTAAAAATTTGTTTTTTTACTCAAAGATTAGTCAAAATTTCCACAGTGATAGTGATAGTGATTCCAAAAAATCCACAGTGATAAGCTGTGACTTGACTTTGACCTTGGAAATGCAAATATCGAGATTAAATTATTTTGTATACGTTAAACTATAATGTAATCTTAAATATATTTTTTTATGAGGAAATAATTTATATTCACTTAATAAAATTATAAACTAAGTAATTTCCTTTCAAGCATAGTTTTCACAATCGGAGTTTATTTTAGTTCCCAACCAATTGTTGACATTCAAAAAGCTTTCCAGGTCTGTATGGTGGAAAGTAGTCGTCGTGGCCTAAAGGATAAGACGTCCGGTACATTCTATTGAGCGATGCACCGGTGTTCGAATTCCGCTGGCGGGTACCAATTTTTCTAATGAAATACGTACTCAACAAATGTTCACGATTGACTTCCACGGTGAAGGAATAACATCGTGCAATAAAAATCAAACCCGCAAAATTATAATTTGCGTAATTACTGGTGGTAGAACCTCTTGTGCGTCCGCAAGGGTAGGTACCACCGCCCCGCCTATTTCTGCCGTGAAGCAGTAATGCGTTTCGGTTTGAAGGGTGGGGCAGCCGTTGTGACTAAGCTGAGGCCTTAGAACTATATCTCAAGGTTTGTGGTGCATTTACGTTGTAGATGTCTATGGGCTCCAGTAACCACTTAACACCAGGTGGGCTGTGAGCTCGTCCACCCATCTAAGCAATAAAAAATAATACAGATATTTACCGAATAGCCTATTATACATCAAATAAAGACGCGTGTTAATAAGAAGTAGCCAGAAAAACATCGCGAATATCTTAAAACAAACACGTAACAATATCTTCTTGGAATATTCCTGTTTATCGGATCTTACGCACGTTTTAATAAATAACTTATCAATTCGTCATAATAAACAGATTATTAGAACGAGTGAGAGTACATTTCCGAACGCCTAATCGTTTATAATATTAATTTTTTTTTTTTACACAAGAGGTCCTACCACCAGTAAAATGTACATGTACATAGTTTGATAAGCACGTTTAGCATAAAATAGTCTAAAATGTTATTAAATGTCCGATAATGTATAATATATTTATTTGTTTTTTTTCGTTTACCTTTCTACATTCGGTTATTGCACGAGATTAATTATCAAGCTTGTGTTATCATACATTTAAAAATAAATGACCCGAGCTTATAATAGTGTCTGTAGCTGAAGTCTTGAAATAATCTATAGTTGAACGTTCGACTTAAATAATGTGATAACAATGAATTAAGAAGTGGAATGATCTAAGTTATAATAATGGGTTAACGGAAACTGTAGCTCACAGTTATTTACTGCATCTTAATGCATTGCAAAGTAAGAAGTTCGGATTTGAGTAGGACACTATAGCTTAGTTTATATCGTACTTAAATTGTAGATAATAATGTCATTATAAATCTTTATATTGAAATGTTCCGATTTAAAACTACGTAAATATTAAATGTTCAAAAATCAACGTCGTTTCCATCCTCCAAACGTCCTATTGAATTTTCAATCAATTACTTTCTGTATTACAGTTTGTTTGAGTGCCAAAGAAATCGCGTCTCTTGTTTGGTATATGTAGCGCGTGAATTGGCTTTACTTAGCTCTGCAACTGTATTCGTATTCTGTCAGTTAGTGAACACAGTGTTCCACTAAAGCGGGCATGTTCCGATGAATATTCAGTTACGATAACGATTTCAGTAGGTCTCCTGACCAAAAATATATCCCCAGATCACGTACCGCGAACGTAATGCACCCGACTAAAGTTCAATGACCGTCCCTTTTATCTTTAAAACGCAGATTTACAGCGGTACTTTAGCTATCGTGTTTCGTTATTTCCTATCGGGAGTTAGATTAGAACATTGCGTTCTATGTCTCGGAATCAATTTATGTAATCGTGCCTTATCGCCTCAGTAATTCACTTACACAAAATGTTTCCGCTTGTTTCGAAATTTTTAATGAATTATGACGATAATAAAAAGGACGAAATGGATTGATAATGTCGAAGATGTCATTCTTATTATGAATTAGTTGATAATAAAGATTTTTCATTGACCTCAATAATGTAATCGTCATTATCTCACTTCCTATATGCTCTCGAAATAGATATGTTATGTTGAAGGCTGTTTTATCTTAGAATCTATGAAAAAGTAGGTCGCGTAAAACTTTTCCTGGAAAATTGAAAGTTAATGTTACCGAGTTACTTAGGTCAAATTTTAAGCATAGAAAAGTGGCTAAAAATTTTAATTCTTTATTTAGTTTATCGTTCAAATTTGAACAATCGAAGAAAAAAGTGATATTTAATAATATTTAATTTCTAGTTTTTGTGATGATTTTATCGTATTTATAGTACACCATCGCCAAAACTCTTACGAGCTTATTGACCATCTCTATTTTTTTTTCTATTTCAGACCATAAAGAATAAATTTACAAAAATTGTTATGATGTAGCACAATTTACTTTTTTCATTACTTATGAAGGAGTAATCATCCTGATATTAAATTAGTCTTTTATCAGGATAAAAAAATGTCCTACAGCGCTTCTTTATACATCATCATCAGCCAACAGACGTCCACTGTTAGACGCTGCTTCCCCCAAAGCTCGCCACAATGACGGTCTTGCGCAGTCGGCATTTAGCGGATTCCT